GGTTTTTATTCTGGGATGTCTCGACATATTGCTCATCATGGTTTTATATGGTCCTTAGCTTATTAGGTTTTTTCGGATGGAAGACAGAGTGGTGTGTTATGTACCAAACCAAACACGTAACGCCGTTCTCTGAGCATTTTCGGCGTGGCTCCGTTCAAGGTTCTGTGTTGTCACTTCAACAGAGTCGAAGTTAAGTCTCTGATCACGGATCAGCTGGTTATTCAATGAATTTATTCTACTCATTGCTAATTTTCTGTTATTCGGTAGGCTTTGTTGATGAAGCCAGCCCAGAACTGTTCGTCAGTGGCCTTTTACAAACTGTATAGATTTGGACATGGAGTTTAAAGCTTTATGGTATTAAACCAGTATGAGAACACGGTGAATCGGGTCTTCTTCAGACTCCATCACATAAAGTTGATCTAATATAGCTTCCACTTCATCTTTAAACGGTAGATAATTTATGATTCCCACTTCTTTTGTGGTGTCACCGTAAGATTCAGGCAACACTCACCCTAAGGGAACATTTGTAGCAAATGGCTCGCTAAATTTTCCAAGATGTCATCTGTGATATCGTTGGCACCGTCCTAAGCAACACAAGTAATCTCTCGAACGTCCATATCTTTGGAATTCTCAGTCCACGAAGGAAACTCCTAATTGAACCTCTTTACAGTGTAATTTGAACTGGCTATACAGCGTTTTCAGGAAGAGCGTTTGCCACTCTCCTTCTAAACTGGGTCTTCTGGCTAGATGCTCTGTATTGAGCGAAGTCTCTGAGCCACCATCCAGGAAAGTGCAAGTCTGCACAACGCTTTCTCTATTTTCCCTAATACAGGCACTATCGCGAATGATACTTGCCTCTGTACGCGCTTAACACATTCCGACGCACAGAGTTGGGCATTGATGTGGACAGTACTGTTGCAGTCACCCTGCCCTACCCGCTTCCTGCATGTCTAGGGATGGCGTCGTCAGCTACATCATTTGACAGCATATAACCTCAGTGCTCGATAGTTTCTTATTACGTTATTTTCCTTTAGACAGATACTACACAACTTCTCCTTTAGTTCAAACACTATCCTTCAATTATTATCCTTTACTCTAAGCCTTCCAAATTGGTTTACAAGGTGGTTTTAGTATTAAATAAACATTAGAACTCAAGAATGCCTGGTCTCATGTGTGGAGGGACGTCAGATCCACGCGAACGACACTGTCGCCTTAAACTCTGTATCGAGGTTGAAGATACGACTAGTTTTCTAGTTTGATAACTAGCAACCAGTAACACCTTCTATATTCGAAGCTTCGCCCAACCAATCGAAATCAGAAGTCAGAGGAGAAGAGGTAGGAAAGATATAATTGATACGTTATCAGTATAACTAGAAGCGTTCGCTCCAATCGGGCTACTGAACGTAGGAGCTGTGTCCTACGCTGGTTCGTAACGTGATCTGGTACGGACGCATGACCGAAAGCCTTCAGTTAAACAAGTACACTTAAAACAATGTGGTCAGCATCCAATGTCGAACACTTAATGAGCTATTGATTTTGGAGAATTATTTACAGCTACAAGGTTTTATCAGTAACAAAAATTTACAGCCTTTGGTTGCAATTAGAAGGATCTGAACTCACAAGTATTTGTTATCTGGTATTAACAATAAAAATGTATGGAATGCAGTCACACTAATATGGTAGAGTAATAATATCCTTCAATTGGCAGGCCAAATACAATGGGGATAATACACAAACATATCAGACTGCATTGACTTGATAGACGTTTTAAGCAACGATATAATTAGTTACTTATAGACACAACTAACGAGTTCTACTAGCTGTAGATTGCAGTATCCCTGTAATTCCTCGTTAGTGCAATACTTTAAATACTTTTAATAATCATACAGACCGTTATTGGGGTTCACTTTGACAGCTCTTCTTGTCTAAGCTTCTCAAACGGGTGTGAGAACCACTCGTCTTGCTTCAAAATAACACCGTAGACGAACTGGCTTCATCTGCCGAGTGTATTCCGGAGGTCACTTGAACCCTCAACGCTGAGGTTTATTCTGTCAATGAAAACCCTCAAACAACACAAAACGACGTTACCCTTAACTCACTATCTCAATGTTCATCGTTATTGTAAGGGCTCCCATAAACCTTAGAGAATCCCGACACGAAATAAACCTTGAGGTCAAGGGAGACAAATAATCCTGACTGGTATTAGTACTACAATAAGTATGGTAAGTCCTCTGGAAATTGCAGAAAATCCTACGGATTCTCAGGCTCCAAACCGTACGACACAACGACATTTCGAGAGTATTCCCCGCCAGCACGCGTTTACGGCAATCATGGTCGGAGAACGTAGCCATCTGTTGTACATCGCCGATGTGAAGTTGAAAGTTCACTATGTTATCGGCACTGGATAGTGTGTAAGCGCATTTCCAGAGAATTATAACGACCGTCTGCACAAACCAGTTTTCAAATTACAAGTGGGGAGTGTCAAGACATTAGCCACACATGATAATCGATATGTTTATCTTAACGTGTTGAGGATACCACGGATATTCTAGTTTGGCAACTAGCAACCAGTAGTATTTTCTATAATCGTTCTTTCCCAGTCGAATAGAAACCAGAAGTCAGACGAGGAGAGGTAGGAAAGATATATTTGATACGTTACCAATATATCGAGGAACCTTTACTATAAGCTGGCTAATGAACGTAGGAGCTGTGTCCCACGCCGTGTTGCAACGTGATCTGGTACGGATGCATGACCGAAAGCCTTCAGCTAAACAAGTCCACTTAAACAACGTGGTCAGCATCCAATGTCGAACACTTAATGAGCTATTGATTTTATGGATTTATTTACAGCTACAGTGTGTTTACTAGAAACCATTCAAAGGATGTCCATTGCTGCAGGTGTTTTCTTGCCAATCATGGTTGTGGACCACTCAGGATACCATAATTTATACATCGACACGCTCAGAAGAAAGTTAGTGAATAAAAACACATAATCTGTCCGTATAAATTAATTTAGTGCTGGTTAGTTATTACCGCTCACTGGTAATTGCATAAACGATCAAAATTATACGAGCAAACCAAACAACTGCTCCCACATAAACCTAAAAACACATTCACCAAACAAACTAACTGACTAGTAAAATGAAGTACAATACTGACAGTTCTGAAGAAATATGATTCAACCTCTGAAAATATTGTTCCCTCAGTCTCTAGGGTGAACTCATCTACTTCTTTGAATCTTGCTTTTCATAATGTAAAACCAAACCCCAAAGATAGTTGCCTTTTCGTTGGCCCTTTGTAAATACGAAACGTAGGCTTAGTGACGAAGACTCAATTCTTAGAAAGATAGAAGTAGTAAGCATTGAGTTAGAAATCAGGCAGCTTGAGCTTCGTAAACGACCGCTAGATTTTAGGCATATACGTCCTAGCAAGGTGAGAAGTGAGTGTCGAATGTCTCAGCTATCTATGTCTTAACCTGAAGAAAGGAAGCCCGAGGTTGTTGTTGGCCGCCGATATACCAACAAAGGTGCGAGCAGAGATGTTGAAATTAAAATGAGCGTAGGTAGTGTCAGGTCACTGCCCATGTCAGTTAGGTTTGAGATTAAATCATTAGATAAAGCTAATCAGACAAAGATGAATAGAGCACATGCTATCAACGCCGTATGCATTAAACAACCAGAAAGCCAACTAACTAAAAACGATGCACTGAACTAATTCCCTCTAAATGACAAATCAACTAATTTGCTTTGTAGACCGGGTTCGGAAGGGTGCATTCATATGAATGGGAGTTCGTTGACACATTCAGTTTGGTTGTTTTGAATTTGATATGAACTGCCCCTAACCGTCTGACAACTAAGAAGGGTATCCTATCACATGCTGAATCTGTATATGGCTCACTTGGTTTTCTAGTGCCTCTATCACTTATGTCTAGACGGACTCTGCAACAGCTGTGTTGTAAGAACTGAGGATAAGGTGAAACTTTTTATGAGGATCTGAGCTTGAGTTTATAAACTTGGTTGGAGGGAATTCACGTGTCAAAACTTTGAGGATACTACGACTCTTAAATATTGAGCCGTGTGTCAAAAGACCGATATCTGGTGCATCAAGAAGTGGTTATAGATCTGTGGCTTATATGAGATCGGAGTATGATGCAAGTACAACTAGATGTCTCATCCCGAGCAAATTTAGAATAGCCCCCCTAATACTTGTTCGGAATCCACATCTTGAACTACAAGCCTCAGAACTGTCAGTGAAATTGATGAGACAAATAGTGGAAGAAATAAGGCTGAAACATATGACTGAAATCTACTTTTGGACTGACGTGATGGAAAGATTCAGGTTGTATATAAATAAAGATAGTGACGCTAAGAAACTTCGAAGGCGTACTGATCATTTTGTTGTGCTTCGCGAAGCTAAGAATGATGGACAACTTAAGAAGCGAAGAATCACACCGTTGACTGAACTAGATGAAATATCACCCTTGAAAAAACAAACTGATATTTCTGAACATGTTAACTACGATGCCGTAAATAAATTTATCAATGATATAATAGAAAGTTGATGTGTCTCGTTACTTTGGCGGCTGTTGGCATCGTCATCGGCGAATGTTATTTCTCCCGTTCTCAGAGCTATTGATAATCTGGTCACTGGTACTGATGAGCAAATACAGGCTATTCCTGATGCTGGTTTGTTAACGTATATCTCTGCATTGTTTAACAATGAAAAGTTTACCGTGGTTAAATAAGCTTGTCAGGTGGTGAGTAACATTACCACCGGAAGTGTTGGTCAAATGGATATAGTTATAAGTCACAACATCGTGCCATGCGTCTTGGATATTCTTTAAAAGGGTGAACTCAGAACTCAAAAGGAAGACTCGGGTTATCAGCAATTCTATTAACGGTAGAACTCCGGTAGTGTATATATTGGTTGGATCGAAATGTTTTGAAAGCATTATGCTCACTGTTCGAAAGTCAAATGTTGTGCTTGTGGTTATAGAAAAAATGAGGAACCTAGAGATTTCTGACCAGTATGGTCAACTCAAACCAGCTTACATGGAGTTGGAGAAGCGTGTAGACTTGAATTTTCATGTTGATCGTACCAGTAATTATCAGTCAACCACTTTGTTATCCTTTGTTCAACCGTTGACAATGACTCAGTTGGTTTTATGGACTCAAGAGCCTTGGTCGAGATTACAATTTTTAGCCAGCTTATGTGGTGTATGTCGTGTGTTAAGAGGTGGATCGATAACATATAAAGTTTTTGCTTATACACTTGATGGAGACCTTGAAGTAACCTTGATTATGCGACATTTGATGTCTAGTATTGTCTCCAGTTTGTTGTATTTTACTAAACAATGGACTTATGATGGTCATCTAAACAATCCATATCAAGAATTCCATGTTGAAGCAGGTACGTCAGTGGAAATAAGTCGTTCGTGGTGTATATAACCTACGGTGCTATAATATGATTCCAAGATTTGTCACTTCAAACAAAGCTAATAAAATTCTTTTCATTAGTAAGTTCATTAGCCTTTTAATTCATGTTTGTGGCAAACAACAAGGCATTCAAAATCGTGAATTTATCCATCCTACACTTTCAGAAAAGGATAAATCAAGGTTGGGGCAAGATTTGGATCAATCATTTGATCAAGTGATATCTGCTGCATGTAAACGAACTGTTAAACATTTATTAGAAACATTGATAGGACTTTATTTCTTAGATCATTTAAGAGCTACAAGACAATTGTCACTCTGAGGACAAGGGGATTTTATTCAACATGTTATGGAATTTTTAGATTCTAATTTAAATAAACCATGTTCAGAAATACTAATTGATCGATTGGGTAGTATATCGAAGACAGCTATGCACGATTCCAATACCCAATATAAGGAACCGGAAATTCCTCAACGTCTCGATGTTCGTTTACTGGATATATCAGCATGTCAATTTACCGGATGGAATATATTTTCATAGCACTATTATGTTGATGCTGCATTAGCTACAATACTTACTAATAGTTGTCGTTCTACGTATTCATTTCCTTCGGCTTGCTATACGTATGGAATTTACATCAAGCAATTTATGAAAACGGTTATGTACAAAATGTTTTACCATTAGTATTGCATTTATTCGGTGTAGAAATATGACATTTTATTCAACAGCCGCGATATTATATTAGTTTTGGAGTTTCAAAATGTGTCTGGGAGAATCTTGTTAAGCGAGTATATTCCAATGAAGGTGAAGGTAACGTTAATAAAGCTCATCAAGCATTGTTATAAAATGTATTTACAAAATGCCCATTAGATGCTGAGTCATGCCAACTTCTTGGTCAATTACGAGCGATGTTCAATTCAATCTCAGACTATACTCAGTCACATGAAGATGTAATACAACTGCTACGTATGAGAAATATAAACATGAAAAATATGCACCAGAAACGAGCATAAGATTTGTTATTCAAGAGAACAGACTATTGAGTAGTAGAGTGTAGAAAGACTTCTCAGAGTTACTGCGGCTAGAGCGAAATTTACCATTGTCATTTCTGAATATCTTCACGCTAGATATCTAATCAGTGAGAAAAAGGAAAGACATTCTGTCTTTGATAGGGTGGAGTTAAGTTGGCTTTAGATTCTCTATCCTTACTCACTTCCCCTGGACTCTTACCAATATTCAGTAAATTGGCTGTATTGTAGTGTAGTGCTTCGTTAATCGATCGTCTCGATAACCGTTATTATATCAATCTGAACGGTGTATAATATCAGGAGACAAAGGGAAGTGGCAACTACATTTTTATTGACAAATAACAGGCTAGATGAGCACATGAGCAAATGTTAGCGAGCGAAGAAAAAGTAACATACATGGGAGATGGCTGGTAAGCTAACTCGTTATAAGCAAGCATTAATCAACATTTATAGTCAGACTAAAATGAATAACAGACATGTGATAGGTAGGATAAGAAGGGTGCATACACATACGCTCATATAAAAAAATAGTCAAGGTCAATAAGGGAATAATTAACAAGATCAAAATATGACTCATAACGTTATAGATGAATTGGCTTGTCCAGAAACTAGAATAAGCTATGTAGGTGTAATATAGTACACGACGTTACACTACTCCCCACAGTATTACTACGCTTATGTTGTGACGGAAGTTTGTCGTGTAATATCCTGAAATATTTACATATACTTATAACGTTTTATTGTACTTATCATAACTTTATCTCAATCATTGTAGCGGTTATCCACAATTTTCGGCGTTTGTTTAACCTTTGTTCAGACGCAGCGGTTTCCCTGTTGTTTGCTATTGGTTTGCTTGACGATAAACTGTCACCAAATTTGGACATAGCTATTTGCTATCTTTTACACTATCGTATAATGTATTAATTCATTATGTTACAGAAAGACTTTGTTGATTCATACAAAAAGATTAGTTCAAGGCCGTAGATACCTCACAGGTTTAGGTTTGTAAGCGAATTTTGTATATTATTCAATAAAGAACCGATATTTTAGACAAACCATTGATTTGTGAACTTTGATTTTCAGCGTAAATAAATCGGATGACTTCGAACGTATATCACGTTGTCATGGTCAAATACGCTTAAGTAAAGATGGTATATTTTGGTTAGCTAATTTTTCATCTCATACTGTTTATGTTGATGGTAACCCGATACTAACAGGTGAGTACTTGACGGTAATAATGTTTTTCTTCTCACCTGTATTTATAATTCATAAATTTATAATGCAGATTGTGATTCTGACGTTAAAAATTGTCATCGTATAAATTAAAACACAAATAGGCGGACAATATTGTTTTCAAATGAATTCTTCGTCAGGTTTTACTCTAATATATACCGATATGATAATAAAATGGAACTATTTTGTTTTCACGATATAAACGATAGTACGACTGGCGATCAAGGTTTCGCTAACACTATATTGTATAGTAGATCGATATGACACCATCAGATTGAACCACGTTTTTCCAGATATATGATTCACAACCGCAGTAAGAGAACCAGAGCATAGACTAGACAGTACTTTATTCAACACAATTACAAAGCGGTCTACACTCAGTGAGTTCAGAGTGGAAATCAATAATCGGAAGGAAAATCACCAAGTAAGTGGACAATGTGAGCCGAGCATCTGTCTGTCTGCGCTTGGCGACCAATCACTTCTTACTTCCACTAGCCACACACATCAAATACAAAAATATTTATATGGGTATAGATGAAGAAGCATTGAATTAATCAAAGCAGTTTACAAACAGGTGATAACTACGAGACGGGCTGCGTAACCAAACGTAGTCAGTAAGAAATACAAATACAGATCGTAAGGTGGAGACACTTATAGTGTTAATGGGAGTAATAACAACTTAAGTCAGTGCGTCAACATGGGGCTTAGGTCAAAGTCTTTGACAAATAAACGTTAACAAATCAGTGTGAAACTAGAAGAATCTATTGACTATAGAAAGACAGAGGAGCCTTTTTTAATGCAAATTTTTACTTAACCAGCCATCTTTCCCATCTACTTTCTAAGTGAGATGTAATTCCATGTCACATTTATCAAAATGAAAGTGATTGTCAAGTGTACTACACGATAAAACTAATTTCTTTATTGATAATGATGATAGTGCATGTACAGTTCTTTTCTCTTCATTTGAGTGATTTATAGACCACAGCTTTGTATCAATGTTCTCTCGTAACTTAAAGTATCTGTAACCTACCCACTAATCATACTTGTTTCTCGAGGACAATGAACATAGGAGAAAACAATCACTCAAGTCGAAAAGTTAGAATTAGTCTGCAATTTAAAACGTTGGTGAAGACTCGAATAAGATACAATTCTTCTGATTAGCTTGAGAAACAATGCGATTCTCTCCCTCTAAACACAAAATGTTACTTCAGTGTCAGCACCCGAATTAAGGGAGGGAAGTAGTTGAAAGTATCGACCGCTTCACTTAATTGAGTCCTGATGGTCTGGTGTTTGACAAATTCTCGACACGAATTCGGAAAATCCGGTTGACTTTTTTCAGTTTCGGTCACCTGTGGTATAGGCGAGATGTCCACTTTCCAACTGAAGGGTGACTTTATTACACAGCACTTTGCTCGGTCCTACTTCATAGGTGTGAAACATGGTGATAAAGAATAGAGGATATTTGTAGGTTGCTAGTACTCAATCATGGGTTTCTTGAAAGCATTGCTCGTACATTTTAGGACTATCGAGTTAGCGACTCTAAGCTTAGACTCACAGTACTAGGTAAGTATGGCAGGTCGACTGACGGGGTAGTGAGTGTTTAAGGTCAGGATATATATTAACCATGGCTGTCTATCGGCTACCTCAACACACAATAACAACCGGTGTAGGATTAGATTAGAAGAATGCTAAGGGAGGGGAACGAAGACATGACACCAGTCCATGAAGTTATTGACAATTAGATTGAGCCATGTAGACAGGTGCGATCATCTGGTTGAAATCCGTGTGGTTATCATAACCAATTGGGGGGCCTGGATTGCATGACTGAAATTTGTTCACAGTGATTCAGCTGCGTCCGTTCTGTCTTTCCTTTGATCCTTAGTTTATAAATTCCTTGTAAATCTTCTCACTAATTTATGTTTTCCTGAGACGTATTTCCGATGCCTAATCTTTTTTAGTATCACTAATATTGTCACTAACTAAATTACCTTGCGATTTTCCCTGACAATTTTATCTCATTGTTCTTTTGGGGTATGACAGTTTGGAGCGATATACATGAGTCATGTTGTACGTTGTGTTTGACCGAATAACTGACTAAACTTTTAATGAAATCTCATGTATACCTCCAGCCATGTCAACAAATTTCCATACTACTTCAACACTTGCATGTAAACTTTACTAATAAGTGACAACTGGCGCAAAATCTAGAACGATTCGGATTTCTAATAACTACCGTCTTCAAACACCTAGGATCAGTTCTATTTTGACTGAATGCGTTAAAACAATATTACTAAGACAGAACAAGATAAATCGGTCGATAAATTTATTGATTTTAGTTAGTATGATCTACTGCTACGATCTGGGCACCCGGACATTATTCTAGCGCTCACTAAATTGGATGATTTATGTGGCGCATATTTATTTTGTGTCGCCTTGTACTAATGCTTATGTGTTTACATAAAATAAATATGATCTAACGTATGTATCAGAAAGCAAACTGACAAAATTGAGAATCAAATCACCATTAAGTAAAATACACATCGACATCTCACAAACGACCATAATTTTCAGAAATCACTTCTCGATAGTAAATTTCAGAGCAGAATATTTCTTATTAAAAAAAATTATTCACACAAATTAGAATATAGTTCACCAAATAACAGCATTATGAGTCTAGGATTATTTGTATTCACTTGAAGTTTATCGATCATTAATTGTGTGGGTGTTTATAGCTTGACTATTATGTGATAATGCTGTTAATTTCGTGGTTTTTGCTAATTCACTCTGACTATCGTCGAATAGTTGAGTTCCTTCTAAAATATTTTCCTCTACATTATTATCAGAGTTTTGTCGCCATCATAATGATTATTGTCAATAGTATGGCTCTTATCATCGCAACTATAAATAGCAACATTATTTGTAGTGGTGGAAATAGTACTATAATTGCTGCATATCCAATTCACGTAATCATGATTCACATCAAATCTCAATGTGATATGATCAATTAAAATTGTCGCGAAATCCTTCAGCTCAACTTCTTCGTCTAGATAAAGAAAAAACAAGACGAAAAACGAAATAAATAATAATAAGTCGATAAATAAATATTTGTAAATACAACGGAATAGTTCATGTTTGCAAATCAATATGCAGTCAGAATCGTCGAAATCTTAGTTAAGCTCATCAGTACCATTCTGCGGACTATAGAATTTTTGTTACTACAGGCTGACATACAACAATTATACGAATGTTAGGGAATGATTGTAAATCAAGATTTTTTGATTGTGTGCTGTATCACCTAAGAATAAGGAAAATGACCTTATGTCAGATGGAATTACGTATAGATCCCAGATTCTACCTAAGACCTCAGTCAATCTTGCTGCTAATACTGGACCGCCATCCTTAAAATTCTCAGGAGTAAACATGGCAGGACCTGTTGCTCTTCCTCGCTTCAGATTTCCTATAGCTTTTTCAACCTCGTAGAGAGTTGGAGGACTTACACTAACTAGTCATTCAGTTCGACTGAGAACCGTAAGAAACGGAAGTGTGGCTGAAGGCCAATTTAACTGATCCCTAAAGTGTTCTGCCATCGATCCACTCTCCTGTATTGAGAATGAATAATATATCCATCTTTTACCGAGATAGTTTCGCTGACAGTTGGATTTCTAATACCGATTTCTTTAACACGTCTGAACTGTTGTCCGCTGTTGCCTATTGTCGATGCCTTTCGATCTCTCTTGCTTTCGCTACCCACCACTGCTCGTGATCATTGCGTAGGCTTCTTATTAGCGTACACTTAAGTTGATTCCGCTCTTCGTTACGTTCAGAGTCAAATGGAATTAGTTTTCGAGCATCTATCAATAGGGTAGATGCTGCCGAGATCCAGTGTTTCTCCATAACCTTATGGTTTACCATACCAGCAGATATCACTGTTGTTTCCACAGCTTTTCGGATGTCATTCCACGGTGCATCAGGGTGGACACAAGTTACATGTCTGTCTAACTGTTTTTCCAGTTGTTCCTGAAATATATTCTTAGCTTACCTATCATTAGGTAAAACCCTTAGTCTTCTTTGCAGCGTCTTTCCTACGTCCGGTAAGATGCAGACAGATTCGTGCTCGCACTAGAGCATGATCTAAATCTATGCATGAGCGACAGTCGTCTATTGATACCCTCCATCGGTGGCTGATAGCGATATGATCTAGTTGGGTCCAACGTTGGGACGAATTTCGGGTCCCTGTGCTTAAAGTTAGTATTTGCAAGAAACAGGTGGTTATCTGAGAAGAGCTGCAACAGACGGTCATAATCATTTGTTATTTCAGCCACGACACCATAAGATTTACTCAGGTGTCTTTCCCTTTCGCTTAGTTTACCTACTTGAGCATTAAAGTCACCTGCAACTATTACTACATCAGAACGTCTAGCTTTTCGGAGAAAACATTCTGTAGAACTCATCTTTTACATCATCCGAGATGCAGCCAGTGGGACAGTAGGCAGAGACGACTAGTGCCCCTATTTTTCCGAGTCCTTGCCGTACCGTTAGGTCAGACAGCGCACAGACGACTGTCTACTGAGATCCAGTCTAAAAGAGCTAGTTCTGCCACGGCATTAAATGCTATACCTACGCCAGCGAGGCCACGGGAAGCAGCATCAAGATTTCCAGATACACGAAACGTGAATCGAGGTGGTTCTTTATTTTGATTAGGTGAGGTCAAATGAATGACTCTAGTCTGATCTTGTATGCGCGTTTCGGAGACGCAGCACACATCGATGGTGTAAGATTCTAAAGTCATAGCTAAGGAAGCCTGTTGTCCCATTTGACACAATGTTCGGGCATTAAAAGTTCCTATATGTAGTTCAGAGTCTGGTTTCAGGAGACCAAGAATAACGTCCCGCGTACTCGAATCGTTTGCCCTAACGGTGAGAAGTGATAAAGGGACGTGGGAAGGGTTAGTCGTGGAGATGAGAAAGTTATTAGGTGTAGAAAGGATTTGAATGTGACCAACTTGATCTCGTGTGCAGTTACGGGTATGAGGGCTAACATCACTTCCCGGCTGCCCACACCGTGGAAGGGTATTTCTTGAGGGACCTGAAAAGGAAGTTGGATTAGTGTTGGTCTTAACGACCTGGGAGCGTGACTGCAGAGCCCAAGGGACAACTGCTTGAGGCCGACCGCGCACAGCTTCAAGTGGGAGGGTTTTTGACTTGTTAGCTCTGCTCTTAAGAGGGCCTTACCGCCGGAGACGGAAAGGTGAGGCGTGACATATTTAGGGTCAGCCTTTCCTTTCTTGTGAGAAGGCAGTATCGCTGCAAGAACATATATTCCATCGGATTGGGTCATTACGATAGGCACCACGTCAAGGAAGCAGCTACGATCGAGATTGCATACTGACATTAAGCGACTCACATCCTGAGTCGAGGGTGCTAATAGGATGATTGTTTAATATTATTTGCACTTCTATGAGATAAGTATAGGAAGCTTCATCAAGTAACATTTGTTCCTTAGGGATTACCAGCAGCAACTGCGGTATCGATCGATCGATTTATTCCCATATTTTACTGTAGCCAGACAATAGAAGATTGAAGTGTCATTGCACCTGTTTCGAGGTTAACTGGATTTCCACTGGTCTCATTGCTACATGAACAGCCGTAATTCGAAGACTGCTCCTACGAAGTTCAAACTTATCACTACCAGATATCTCTGCTTACATACCTCATTAAAACATAACAATCCCATATCGAACGAGTCGGTGTTTAGACAATGCATCACCTACAAATGCACTGTCAGGATTTCCAGGCGTATAAACACACATCTATATCTCCTTCCTAGTAATCTACTAATTCGAACTTAGAAAAGCTCGTTGTCATTTACTCTCCACAGCCATGAAACCATACCAATCTTGTCGAACTCTGAAGCGGAAGGAGTGTTATTAATTGCTACCCTGGTTTTTACCCAATTCGCCGAAAATCACACGTCTAATCGTGAATATCCCCTTCATAATCCCAGTATCAGTCACGAAAAACCTCCGGACATGCCAGTATGTACAGATTCACAGTGTTAGTGTCCGGTGTTCGATCCCGTTACTAGATGACACTGCTGGGTGCTTAAAGAGCTCTGGGAACTCCGAGTAATTCAGGCGCACTCCGATACATATTATTCTACCCAGCATTACGGACAACAACTTCCTCAAATCATTATGATTAATTGGCTTCTCATTTATTGAGTCAGTCAGTCAGCTACAACGTAGGACCAGGCACATTTATGCATCGGTCCAAGTTGCCATACCTCGTTAGCACAACAAGATCAACACCGGATTCATAGAAGTAGTTATTTTAGTGGTGGTTGTATATAAGGATATAGTATAGGAAGGAAGAAAGTTATGAAGCTATTTTAATCTTAAGGTTTAAGGGAAGATAAAAAGTGTATACACCTGCGCCACTGTGATCGATTCTGAGCCATGTCACCTAGAGTCTCCAACCATTGGTTACGATGATCAGTCTTATTCAGAATTCCGCATAAACTTTGCCTTGAACTGTTATCAGTGTTTTGTGTTTGATGGCTTCGAGTTCATAGACCATTAAGTACCCTAGATTGAAGAATTCTTACTGGTTGGGGGAACGTAAAAGCTGACTAAGGAAGCATACAAGTACTATGAACTGTGTATGTCAAGTTTAATCAACCGTGTAGGATATGTGACCTTGAGTTTACTGACATAAACTATACTGATAAGTCATTATCGGTTGACAGAAAATTTTATGGCCATCTGAATAATACTAGAGTGATTTCTATGTCAAAACGTGCCTGAACTATTGACGGAAATGCTAAAATAGCATTTTTCAGCCAGCTGAATAGATTGCTTTTTCAACTATTACGAATAAAAACAAACAGATGCAAACATAAACAATTTTTAAATAGGGGATGCAAAAATATTATTTGTTGTTTAATGGCTAAATTATATGTATATTTTGTCAGAATGTTAATTAGTATTTTCCTTTAATTTGTAAAGATAAATACACCACAATTGAATCCTATTCAAACAAAAAACGTAGTATCATGCAAAACAAATTACAAGCATGAAATTTACGGAAAAAGCACACTCTTGCACTCAAAATGAGTGTTATTAATCGCGCTAACCAAGTAAAAGAAAAATTTAATTCTAGAACCAAAAGAAATCAGTACTTATCTGCACAATTATGAGTAATGTCTGGTTGTGTATGAATGTTGATGGTGATATTGCGCACCAACGGATAAACATCGAACGATGGGATCGATGCCAAGGTAGGACATGATAGTTTCAAATAAATTGACCATTGGGTAAAAGGTTAATAATTAATCTATTTTTATGATATCCCAATGAGTAGAAAACCGTATTTCTGACGTTTCTTAACTTAATGTAAGTCACTTCTTCAAAGTAAATAAATGACCGAAATAAAATGAACAAGTTTGTATGGTAATATATTATATTGTACTACATAATCTTGTGTTAGCTTTATTTCGGTCACTTATTTACATTGAGGAAGTGACTTATATTAAGTTACGAAACGCCAGAAATACAATCCTCTACATATTGGGATATCAGGAACATATATTTAATATTCAAACGATTGAGTGTGAAGTTTTAGTAATAAGGGAATAAAAGTCAGATAACTGAATTAAGAAATCATTGTAAGTAAAAATGGCGGGTCTATAATAATCAAACACCTGGGTCGCAACCAGTAGTTTATAAGTTCAAATTCGAACAATACTAACTTCTGTTTGGATAGAAAGGTAGTATAATGTGACAAGGCTTCACACACAAGACAATTTAGTCCAAAGCTGAGTAAACAAACATATTTAAATCAATTGATCTCTGAGTACGAGTAACCAGTGTCGTATTTATCTAATGATATAGGTTCGAATCTCATAAACATTAACATCAGTCCCCGTGCAGATTGCGGCAAATGCTCCTTGGTAAAAAGTCCGACAATGAATACAAAAATAGTTTCAGGGTTTCCTGTCGAATACATTAAACTAAATAAGGCACAGATCCATAGCATAGATGAAGTGCGGCTAGCAATGAAATAGTGAGCTCGCATTTCGTCCTCTTTGAGACTCGTCACTTGGATGTCCCTGTCTCCAAGAGTTGATGTTCAATTCAGGAGTCGAACAAAATACCTTTCGCTTTAAATGTCCAACGCGCTATCTACCAGGTTACTGAGACCAGATGACTTGATGGAATGGTCATTCCAGATTCCACATAAACACAGAAATAAATACGGACTAAAAATGTTGATATCACGAAGCGAATTAATTTAGGCATCCACTGAAACCAGAAAGCACTGCATAGCTGTTTCGTCCTAATAGTAGTGCGCATCCATGAACCCGTATTCGGTGGTCGAACAATGAACCACCGGTCTTGCGTGGAATCCCTAGACGACTAACCCGACATCCAACGGTGGTCAAGATAAGGTAAGTTCATGACTTATGCTGTGAAAATTCTACAATTTCCTCAAACCCTGGATACCGAAAATGGGGATTGTAATGTTGATGTGAAGTGAACGAAGACATAGTGGGGATAACCAATTTATTGTTCAACGTGAAATCGCAGGGAGGGCAAAGCAAAATATGAAAAGCACACATTAAATACACTATTTGCACATCTCCCTTTATTTGTCCTTTACATGCTTCATCATTCTTACAATCCTGTTTTCTTTGAAATCGCTCTCTAATCACTTTCTTGTTCTCTTCAACGTAATCTTCTGATGCTAGGAATTACACTTACGAATTGTGTAACACACTACTTAACTTAAGTAGCATAAACCGAAGCACCTATTGCGAGAATAATAATGTCCTAAGTGATCTACCAAAATGTGTATAATTACGCTTCCCTTGTATAACTGAAGAAACTGATATCGATTCAAACAAACTCACCTTATACATAAAAAAACATGCAAATTTTGTTATACTTTGGCCAACATCAAGACATTCGCTTTTTCTCTTAAATTATGAAATGCGCTACATTTCAAGATGTTCTGCTTATCCCCAACTACACATTTATCATCCTTAATAATGTACATTTTTAGTTGTCATACCCCGATAGAACAATGAGATAAAATTGTCAGGGAAAATCGCAAGGTAATTTAGTTAGTGACAATATTAGTGATACTAAAAAAGATTAGGCATCGGAAATACGTCTCAGGAAAACATAAATTAGTGAGAAGATTTACAAGGAATTTATAAACTAAGGATCAAAGGAAAGACAGAACGGACGCAGCTGAATCACTGTGAACAAATTTCAGTCATGCAATCCAGGCCCCCCAATTGGTTATGATAACCACACGGATTTCAACCAGATGATCGCACCTGTCTACATGGCTCAATCTAATTGTCAATAACTTCATGGACTGGTGTCATGTCTTCGTTCCCCTCCCTTAGCATTCTTCTAATCTAATCCTACACCGGTTGTTATTGTGTGTTGAGGTAGCCGATAGACAGCCATGGTTAATATATATCCTGACCTTAAACACTCACTACCCCGTCAGTCGACCTGCCATACTTACCTAGTACTGTGAGTCTAAGCTTAGAGTCGCTAACTCGATAGTCCTAAAATGTACGAGCAATGCTTTCAAGAAACCCATGATTGAGTACTAGCAACCTACAAATATCCTCTATTCTTTATCACCATGTTTCACACCTATGAAGTAGGACCGAGCAAAGTGCTGTGTAATAAAGTCACCCTTCAGTTGGAAAGTGGACATCTCGCCTATACCACAGGTGACCGAAACTGAAAAAAGTCAACCGGATTTTCCGAATTCGTGTCGAGAATTTGTCAAACACCAGACCATCAGGACTCAATTAAGTGAAGCGGTCGATACTTTCAACTACTTCCCTCCCTTAATTCGGGTGCTGACACTGAAGTAACATTTTGTGTTTAGAGGGAGAGAATCGCATTGTTTCTCAAGCTAATCAGAAGAATTGTATCTTATTCGAGTCTTCACCAACGTTTTAAATTGCAGACTAATTCTAACTTTTCGACTTGAGTGATTGTTTTCTCCTATGTTCATTGTCCTCGAGAAACAAGTATGATTAGTGGGTAGGTTACAGATACTTTAAGTTACGAGAGAACATTGATACAAAGCTGTGGTCTATAAATCACTCAAATGAAGAGAAAAGAACTGTACATGCACTATCATCATTATCAATAAAGAAATTAGTTTTATCGTGTAGTACACTTGACAATCACTTTCATTTTGATAAATGTGACATGGAATTACATCTCACTTAGAAAGTAGATGGGAAAGATGGCTGGTTAAGTAAAAATTTGCATTAAAAAAGGCTCCTCTGTCTTTCTATAGTCAATAGATTCTTCTAGTTTCACACTGATTTGTTAACGTTTATTTGTCAAAGACTTTGACCTAAGCCCCATGTTGACGCACTGACTTAAGTTGTTATTACTCCCATTAACACTATAAGTGTCTCCACCTTACGATCTGTATTTGTATTTCTTACTGACTACGTTTGGTTACGCAGCCCGTCTCGTAGTTATCACCTGTTTGTAAACTGCTTTGATTAATTCAATGCTTCTTCATCTATACCCATATAAATATTTTTGTATTTGATGTGTGTGGCTAGTGGAAGTAAGAAGTGATTGGTCGCCAAGCGCAGACAGACAGATGCTCGGCTCACATTGTCCACTTACTTGGTGATTTTCCTTCCGATTATTGATTTCCACTCTGAACTCACTGAGTGTAGACCGCTTTGTAATTGTGTTGAATAAAGTACTGTCTAGTCTATGCTCTGGTTCTCTTACTGCGGTTGTGAATCATATATCTGGAAAAACGTGGTTCAATCTGATGGTGTCATATCGATCTACTATACAATATAGTGTTAGCGAAACCTTGATCGCCAGTCGTACTATCGTTTATATCGTGAAAACAAAATAGTTCCATTTTATTATCATATCGGTATATATTAGAGTAAAACCTGACGAAGAATTCATTTGAAAACAATATTGTCCGCCTATTTGTGTTTTAATTTATACGATGACAATTTTTAACGTCAGAATCACAATCTGCATTATAAATTTATGAATTATAAATACAGGTGAGAAGAAAAACATTATTACCGTCAAGTACTCACCTGTTAGTATCGGGTTACCATCAACATAAACAGTATGAGATGAAAAATTAGCTAACCAAAATATACCATCTTTACTTAAGCGTATTTGACCATGACAACGTGATACACGTCCACTGTCAATACCTTCCATTGATAAATCGATATGCGGTTGGCAAACGAATGAATTACGACCAAATATGACCTAGGAAATATCAGTAAAGAAAGGAAAAGAGTGTGGTAAATTTCTTTCTGTAATGAAGTAGTTTTTTCTACACGAATAAAACTAAAGAAAAATTTTGAGAGCATGACCATAAATGCTAAAGAAATAGTGATTGGTACTAGGGGAATCGATTTGTGTTCGATATGTTCAGGTTCATTGAATTTCTACAACCGGGTAGTGAGTAACACTAGCCTTTAAGTAAACAGTGTAATCGGAAGCCGAGTATATATATATATATATATATATATATATATATATAAATTATTTCCCTTTTCGATAGAAATACATTATAGATATAAAGTATAATACAAATGTTCATTTGCCCAAGTTGACGCAACCTGAATAGCACCACAAAATTAAACAGAAAATTAGTGCGAAGTAATCTAGTAGCGAAAATAAAAAGAAAGATTAAGCCTTAAGAGCAAGGTTCAGAAAGGACGACTGTAGAAGTATACATGGAGAGATAACTTATGGATGTGCCGTTCCGTTGTGTACCATTGTTCTGTGTTTTACCTCCCCTAAACTATGATTCATTAACTACAAATCGACTACGTAGTCACTTTTCCATGTATAATATAGTTTCGTTCGTACTATAATTTCTTATGTATGCTGATGTGCGGTCAAGAAACTAATCTATATTATTACGTGAATTCTGAGTCATGAACTGAACTGTACAATACTGAAGAAGTTTATCTGCCTGTTTTGTTGTTTTGTTTTGGGCTTTGAGCAGATGAGTATGGTAAACTTTCTCCTGGGTTAATCGATGTTAAGTATGTATTTCAATTGTGATCCTACTGTCATTGAGTTAATGGTCAGAAAGAGTAACTTAGTCTATATAGTTAATCTAGGCGAATAAATCAGTAATCGGACTAGATAACATATAACCACTGTTATAATAACGGCCCTATCACACGGGCATCAATACAATACAAAATTGGGGCTTTTTCTTTGCTATCACATCGGGGTTACAGTGAGAAAAAAACAAATCAAAAACCTTTCTTTCTTTTATCAAAAATTGTGTTCTTGATCCCGTAAGAGATGCTAATGCAGGATAAGCTGGTTGTGGATCCATTATTTCTAGACTATTAGTTATACACATTTCAACTAGACGTGTCCAACGTCTAGCCTCTTCTTTATTTCGACGCAAACGTGCCCACAAACGTCCACGACGTCGATGTAATTCTAATCGACGCTAGAATAAAACAAAAATTAATATCCAATGAATCATCAATTGTACCTTGGGTAGAATTATGAATATACATTCAAATATGAAAACAAAATTGATTTATAGGACAGGCATTAGTAACCTGCTAATTCCAATGGGATATGTGTATCTGGGAGCCCTGATGCTGCTTCCCGTGGCCTCGCTGGCGTAGGTAAAGTATTAAGTCCCAGGGCTGAACTAGCTCTTAGCCTGGATCCCAGTAGACAGTCGTCTATGCGCTGTCCGACTAAACGGATCAGTAAGTACTCGGAGAGATAGGGAAACTCATCGTTGCCTCTTCGTCGTCTCTGCCTACTCTCCCACTCACTGTAGCTCAGACGATATGAAAGATGAGTTTTACAGGAAACTTTCTGACCTCCGAAAAGCTAGGCGTTCTGATGTAGTAATAGTGGCTGGTGACTTTAATGCTCAAGTAGGTAAACTAAGTGAAAGGGAAAGACACCTGGGTGGATCTTATGGTGTCGTGGCTAAAAGAACAGATAATGGTGACCGTCTGTTGCAGCTATGCTCAGATAACCGCCTATTTCTTGCAAATACTAACTTTAAGCATAAGGAAAAACATCTTTTGACATGGCGACCCCCAAATTCGTCCCAACGTTGGGCCCAATTAGATCACATCGCTATCAGCCACCGATGGAGGGGCTCGATAGAAGACTGTCGATCATTCTGGGGCACATGTTTAGACTCAGATCATGCTCTAGTGCGAGCACGTATCTGTCTGCGTCTTACTGGATGTGGGAAAGACACTGCAGGGAAGCTTCTAAGGGTTCTACTTAATGATAAGCAAGCTAAGAATATATTTCAGGAACAACTGGAAAAACAGTTAGACAGACATGTAAGTTGTGCCCACCCCGAGGCAGCGTGGGATGACATCCGAAAAGCTGTGGAAACAGCAGTGATATCCGCTAGTAAGGTAAGCCATAAGGTCAGGGAGAAAAATGGATCTCAACAGCATCTACCGCACTGATAGACGCTCGAAAACTCATCCCACCTGGCTCTGAACATAAGGAAGAGCGGAGTCAACTTAAGCGAAGGCTAATAAGAAGCCTATGCAATGATCGTGAACAGTGGTGGGTAGCGAAAGCAAGAGAGATGGAAAAGGCAGCGGCAATAGGTAACAGCAGACAGCTATTCAGACTTGTTAAAGAAACCGGTATTAGAAACACAAATATCGGCGAAACTTTCTCAGATAAAGATGTACATGTCATTCATTCTCAATCCAGGAGATTGGATCGACGGGCAGAACACTTGAGGGATCAGTTCAACTGGCCTTCAGCCATACTTCACTTACCCACGATCCCCAGTCATCCTGAATGGCAAATCGAGGTAAGTCCCCCAACTCTCTACGAGGTTGAAAAAGCTATAGGAAATCTAAAGCGAGGCAGAGCCGCAGGCCCTGACAGGTTTACCCCTGAGATTTTTAAGGATGGCGATCCAGTATTAGCAGCGAGATTGACTGAGGTCTTAGGTAGAATCTGGGAACTAGATGTAATTCCATCTAACTGGTCCCAATCACTGATTGTGCCAGTCTATAAAAAAGGACAAACTCTCTCTTGTGACGATCACAGAGGAATCAGTTTGACTTATATAGTGTCTAAAATATTAGCTCCAATAATACTTGGACGCCTAACCAAAGCTCGTGAAGAGCAGACTAGAGAAAACCAGGCTGGTTTTCGACCTGGACGTGGTTGTTTAGACCAGATATTCACTTTACGTCAGGTCCTAGAACATAGACATACATTCAGACGTCCCACAATAGTAGTATTTCTTGACCTTAAGGCGGCATTTGACTCTGTTGATCGTGAGGTTCTATGGCAGTGTTTGTCAGTGAAAGGAGTACCAAAGAAGTACATTAACCTCATAAAGGCTCTCTACTCGAACACAACTGGTCGAGTTAGAGCCTATGGCGAACTGTCATCAGAATTGGTTACCTGAAGTGGTGTTCGTCAGGGCAGTCCACTCTCCCCGTTCCTGTTTAACTTTGTCGTCGACATGCTTTTAGAGATATCACATTCATCATCTCAATCTCCAGGAGTTGAACTTTTACCAGGAGGCTCACTTATTGACATAGAATACGCCGACGATATAGTTTTATTTGGTGAAGACGCTGACAAAATGCAGAGTCTTCTGACCACTATGAACAACAATGCAGGCATGTTCGGAATGCGATTCTCTCCCTCTAAATGCAAAATGTTATTTCAGGATTGGGTTGCATCGACACCTGAACTAATGATAGGGAGTGAAGTAGTTGAGCGTGTTGACAGCTTCACTTATCTTGGGAGTCTCATCAGCCCTTGTGGTCTGGTGTATGACGAAATCTCAGCACGGATACAGAAGGTTTGTCTAGCTTTCGCCAACTTGCGCCATTTATTGCGTTGGCGAGATATCCGTCTAGCAACAAAAGGACGGGTTTACTATGCAGCAGTCCGTTCCGTCCTACTTTATGGCAGTGAAACATGGCCGATAAGAGTAGAGGATATTCGTAGGCTACTAGTTTTCGATCATAGATGTCTTCGAAGGATTGCTCGTATATCCTGGAACCACCGGGTAAGTAATGCAGATATTAGGTAACGGGTTCTAGGTAAGGATGGCAAATCGATTGATGAAGTGGTGAAACTTCATCAGTTGAGATGGCTGGGACATGTGTTACGTATGCCCAACCACCGACTGCCCCGACGTGCAATGCTTTATGGTGTAGGAGTAGGTTGGAAGAAAGCTAGGGGCGGCCAGACCAAAACATAGCATAAATCCATGAAGTCACTGACAAGTGGACTGAGCCATGTTGGTAGGTGTAGACTACTTGGTTGGGATTCGCGAGGTGATAGAAACCGATGGTTAGAGACCTTGAATGACATGGCTCAAAATCGTTTGCAATGGCGAAGATGTATCCACTCTTTGTGTTCTCCCAAATTCTAATCTGAATTGTTTGTGTCCTTTTTCTCTTTCAAAATTTATTTCACTGCATTATACTCCTTCAATAACATCTTCAAACCCTAATCTTCCACATTAATGCTTATACTCTTACTACTTCTACCAATATGGGATTTGAATGGACAACTTCATCTCTGTGCTAATGTGGTATGGCAACTCGAACTGATGTACGTACGTACGAAGTTCTACGTTGTAACTGATTGACTGACTGACTGACTTGATATTCAAGTTGTATCGAGTCAATAAACTTTTAAATGAATATTCTATTGTTATTCAATTAATGTGTTAAGAACTGTTGTTCGAGTTTATCGTGACAGGTTGACAAATATCTTGTTTTTTTTTAAGCAGTCATCTTCCAATCATGTTTTATAACACAACTATTTCAAAAAATATTCTGCATACAGGTATGTAACCTTACAGAAGTCTATCACACTGTGAGATTCGCTGTTCATTTTACGGAGGAAGAAATTGAACGTCGTTGGCGTGGTTTATTATTCGATCCAATCGTATCTAGGTAAGCCGATCACAAACGTTATTTTGACTACTTTTTTATGTTAATTACACCTGTCACCCCTCGCAGGGAAGCATAGGCTGCCCACCAGCACTCTCTATCCAATCCTATCATGGGCAATCCTTTTCAGTTGTTATCCATCCTTTTCATGTCTGCTTCTATTTCCCGGTGTAATGTGTTCTTTGGCCTTCCTGTTTTCCACTTCGCTTCAGGATTCCAAGTTAGGGCTTACCTCGTGATACAGCTTCGTGAATTCCTCAATGCATGTCCTAGCCACTTTCAACGTCTTTTCCTAATTTCCTCTTCAGCTGGAAGCTGGTTCGTCCTTTCCCACAGAAGGCTGTTGCTGATGGTATCCGGTCAACGGACATTCAGTAACTTGCGTAGGTAACTGTTTTTAAATACTTACACCTTTTCGATGTTGGTTGTAGTAGTTCTCCACGTTTCAGCTCCGTACAGTAGGACTGTCTTGACGTCCGTATCGAAGATTCTCACTTTGAAGTTAGTTGACGGTTGTTTCGGGTTCCATTCGTTCTTCAAGTGTAGGAATACGGCCCATACTTTGCTAATCCTCGTCTTAACATCTGCATCAGATCCACCTTGTTCGTCGATGATGCTTCCCAGGTACGTGAATGTTTCTACATCTTCCAGAGTTTCGCCATCAAGTGTGATTGGCTTGGCGTTCTCCATGTTGTATTTGAGGAACTTGCTTTTTCCTTTGTGCATGTTGAGGCATGTTGATGCAGAGACTGCTGCTACATTAGTTGTCTTCGTCCGTATTTTTTCGTGTGTATGTGATAGGATGGCTAGGTCATCTGCAAAGTCCAAATCGTATAATTGATTCTGACATGTCCATTGTATTCCGTATTTCCCCTCAGATGTCGAAGTCATCATAAACCAGTCAATCACCGGAAGAAAGAGGAAGGGGGAGAGAAGACAGCTTTGTCTGGCTCCGATCCTTACTGGAAATGCATCTGTCAGCTGTCCTCGACGAACCGCCTTACACTGTAGTCCGTCGTATGAATTCCGGATAATGTTGGCATTGTTCTCAGGAATTCCGTAGTGTCAGAAAAGTTTCCATAATGTTCTCCTGTCCACACTGTCAAATGTCTTCTCGTTAAGCGCTTGCTACATTTTAATTTGCATATAAATAAAGCATAGTAAATTACTAAAATGTTTGTTAAATCATTTCTTATAAACAGTAATCAATTGTGTTCCAGAGTTCGATAAAGTCATTATCACGTTTCAAACGCTGAACAAACCTCTAGCGCTGAGAAAGAAGACTAAGATTGCATGAGAAGCTTCATCATTAAAAGCTGAATAATAATGTCTACAACTCGAAAGGCGGCTTTGCCTTGAAATATTAGAGGTCAACGTAAACATATAGAGACAATTTTAAATTTAACTTTAATTTGGTGTAGAAGAATACTGAAGTGTTTCCCACTGTCACACACTACTAATAAGAATGTAAGGACTACAGTGTAAATTTGACTGAATGTGAATTCGTTGGTGTACACATTTTGAA